ATACATTTGGAGATTGGGAAAATGGTCTGTAGGTGGGTCATGGGCCTGTTGGACCAATGGACTGTTCAACCTTGGTCAGGAATCTGCTTATTACATAGTATCCATGTGTCCTCACTCAAACAAGATCCATGATGCTTTAGGTCAATCAATCCAGCATACCTCAAAATGTTCATTTTCCCATTCCCTGGTGTACTAGAGTAAATGATTGTAACTCCTTTTGGGAGAAAGAATAGAAAAATCATTACTGTGTATATTTGCCAACATATTTCAGGATTCTTTCTCTTCATAATCTGGACTTTTCTTCATTTAACAACAGAGAATATATCATAGGATATCCTAAGATCTTAGTACAAACTCTGGACCCTAGCTCTTGATGTCATTCACACCTCTTCTCCCCTTCAATCACTCAGTTTTAATCACACAGGCTGTTTGTCATTTCTTGCATACTCCTGTGTATGGTGTATTCTTCCCTTGATGGCTTCTTTCTTAGCTGCATACAAGCTTTTGTTCAAAATTTATTTTCCTATAAATTTTTTCCTTGATACTTCTAGCAAAAATAATCCCATGCTTATCCATCATTCTGTGTCCCTTTTAGTTTTCTTCATGGTTCTTATTGCCTTATCATTTTTTCTGTTCGATTGTGGCTATCTTCTACTAGGAGCAGAAATTTTCTGTCCTTCTCTACCATTTTCCAGTTATCTAGAATAGTCTCTGACATATAATAGGCTCTTAACATTTATTGAATGAAGAACTACTTTATTCAAGAGACTTCAAAGTATTTATGATAAAAATATTATTTTTTGCTGTCAGTAACATTTGTTGATTTCTAAGTTTTGGGGTGTATATCATTTAATAAAACTGACACAAAATTGATGAACAGTATAAATTTGTTTAATTGAACTGTAACTACTCAATAATATAAAATTAATAATACATAAGAACTTAGATTAGCTAGACTCAATGGCACAGGCCTATAATACCAGCAACTTGGGAAGCTGAGGTAGGAGGATTACAAGTTCGAAGCCAGCCTCAGCAACTTAATGAGAACTTAATTTAGCAAGATCCTGTTTCAAAATAAAATATAAGGGCTGCAGTGGTAGCTCAGGGTGGAGTGCTTGCCTAGCACGTAGGAGGTTTCTATCCTCAGCACTGCATAAAAATAAATACATACATACATACATACATAAAGTAAAGGTATTGTGTCCATGTACAACGAAAAACAAAATTAAAAAAGAAATAACACATAAAAAGGTTTGGGGATATAGCTCAGTGGTAAAGTGCCCCTGGGTAAAATTATTAAGTATTGATACAAAAAATTATAACCAGGAAAAGATAGGGCAAAAGAGCATGATTTTTTTTGAGAGAGAAAATTTTTTAATATTTATTTTTTATTTTTCGGTGGAACAACATCTTTATTTTTCTGTGGTGCTGAGGATCGAACCCAGTGCCCTGCGCATGCCAGGGCATGCCCCGTGCATGCTTGAGCCACATCCCCAGCCCCAAGAGCATGATTATTATATGAAGTTTTTTAATGGAAGTATTGTGGACTTTTGGAAGAACTGACTGCTTCCTAAAGTAGTTTAGCTTCTTTTAAAGAAAAAGCTCTTCATTTTGCCTATAGTTAAGATTTGGGCCTTGGAATCTGGTAAGTCACAGTGGTTTTGTATTAAATTACTTTTTTGTATCACAGTTATAAAATAATCAGTATTAGTAGGACTTACTACTTATCATGGTATTGAATGCTATATAGTGTGTAAGTACTAAGCACATGCCCAGCACATAGTAAGCACTTAGAAATTTGAGCTTTCATTATCATTTTATCATCACTGTGTTTTATGTGCCGTTAAGGTTTTCTAAAATTATTTTTTGTGTGTGTGTACTGGGGATTTATCTTCGGAGTACTCTACCACTGAGCTATATCCCCAGTTCTTTTTATTTTTAAATTTGAGACAGAATCTCAAATTAGCTATGGCAGGCCTCAAACTTGTAATCCTCCTGCCTCAGCCTCCAGAGTTGCTGACATTACAGGTGTGTGCCCAGACAGGTTTTTCTGAAATTTTTTGATTAGCTTACTTTCTAAAGTTCTGAGTAGCTTTAAACATAAATTCCTTTATCCTGAGTTAATACTTCTCAATTTATATATGCAAAATAAAGATTGTTATACACACATCAAATTTTTGACTTCAGGAGAAGTAAGGTAAGCAAGAAGTGTGATTATCTAAATGATTATATGTTTCCTAAATAAGGTCATTTTAATTTAAGATATCAAAAATTTTATTTTGGATGGATATCTAATTCATTCTCATTAATTAATCTTATTAATTCATTCTTATCATTTTTAAGCATGTCAATACTTACAGATAAACTGAATTTTTATTTTTGAAGTAGCTAGTAATTTTGTTTACAGGTTATGTCTTGATTATATCAGATAGTGTTTTGGTTAGCTTTTTCACTGCTGTGACTACAACAACCAACAAGAACAATATTAGAGGAGGAAAAGTTTATATAAAGGCTCACTGTTTCAGAGGTCTTAGTTCATAGAAGGCCAGCTGCATTCCCCAGGGGCTGCAGGTGAGGCTGAATCTCATGATGGAAGAGTGTGGCTTGAGGGAAGCAGCTCACATGGCGATCTGGAAGCCGAGAGAGATCTTACTCTCCAGATCCAAAATATTTACCCCATAGCTACACCCCTAATGGATCACCTTCTCCATCGCCACCCCCTCCAGCCACAACTCAGTTAATCCCATCAGGAATTGATTCACTGATTAGGTTCAGGATGTTCCCCGATCATTTCTCCTCCAAACCTTCTTGCACCTCTCAAAATCTCAGTTTCCTCATCATAAAGTGGGGATAAAATAAGACATTTCTTAAAAGTCCTATTGAAAATAGTAAATGAGATAATGCTGGGTTACACCTCCAATACCATCATAGTGGGGGGAAAAGACAATGGATGTGAATGGTTATTCTTATATCATTCCTATCTTATTCTGATGGTTATTCTTATTCTAACTGAAGTTCATCCTCTTATTCCTTCTTATCACATCAAACTGGTGAACCATTCTCTCAAGTTCCAGTGTGATGATGGTAAGAACATGATTGTAATCTATTCATCTTAATTGTCATCCCCCTCAAGATTTTACCAGTGATCTAGTCTGTGTTTACTTCTTAGTTCCTCTAATGAGTTGAACTGTCTTACTTTTTCCTTTTTCTCAGTGCTCTAGAAAACTATTTGTTCCAAGTTTGTCTGGCTGATTTTTCTTTTTATTTCATGTCTCAGTTTAAACATGACTTCCTCAGAGTTTGCCTGTCGTAACACCTTTTCTGGCCAATCTTCTTTGGTCCTTCCCCATAGTCTCATTACCTCTGTTCCTCTTTTATATTCTGTTACAGCATTCAGCACTTTTCTAGCCACGATTTTTATCCTAGTTTCTTCTGTGTTACTTCTGTGATTGCTTGTTTAGTTGGCATTCCTGCTTAGATCATTTCCATAGGGCTTTGTAGGGTATCCTGGCTATTGAATTCATATCTGTATTCTCAGTGCCCAGCATCTTGTAAGTGTTTAGTATATGTTTGTGAAATTAATGAACAACTTGCTTCTACCCCCAATCTCCCTATTGAGCTAATAATTCACTTAGGGGTATTAATAGTAAAATTTATAAACATTTTATTTATCATTCATTATTTCATTCTTTATATTCCTTTCTCCAATTAGGCCATGAGTTAGTTTCCTCAGGGTACATTCTGTGTTTTATATATCTTTTTATTCTAAAGCCTGACAGAATGCTTGGCATAGGAAATTTTTTTTTTTTGTTTAATGAATGCTTATCAGTAAAAATGTTTTTATTTAAAACATTTTATTTAAAACAATGAAATTTAAAGTACAATTTAAAAATGAGATATTTAGGGGTTAGAGTTGTGACTCAGTAGTAGAGCACTTGCATAGCATGTGTGAGGCACTAGGTTTGATCCTCAGCACCATATAAAAAGAAATAAATAAAAATAAAGCTATTGTGTCCATGTACAATCAAAAAAATATTTTAAAAATGAAAAAWTTTACAGATACTATCTACTGCTACAAGTTTAAGTTATATGCTAAAGGGGAAGCAATATATGATATTTTCATGAAAAAGGTAGTGTGAAAGTGTATAAGTTAATGTGGAATAGTCTAAAAATTGTTGTCTGCTAATAATAAATATTAGAGTGTTTACTTTTTGACTGTGCCTTCTGCTCCAATATTTTTTGCTAAAAATAATACATGTTTATTAAAATATTGAGTATTCTGCTTTTTTCATCAGATATTGTGTTAGGATGTTTTTCTTATTTCATTAAATGTTATTTTACATGATTTTAATAGGAGCATAGTTTTTCTTCCAAGAGGTTTGCCAGTAATGGCTTTGTTGAATATTTATGTAAACAGTTTTTTAGTATTACATATAATAATGTACAATCAACAACTTACCAAAGATTTTTTTTCATATATGCTTTTCCCTTAGAATTTTAAAAGCAAACTTGCTTGTCATTCTTAGCACTGATAATATTACCAAATACTAATAGTCCTCTAAAAAGATTATACCTGTTGACATTTCTAATAATAATGAGAGTACTGATTTCAGTTCACCTTTTCCTGCATTGTATAATGTTAAAAGTGAGGTTTAAAAAAAGTGATGTTTGACCTTATTGATCATTAGTAAAGTTGCATATTTCATTTTTTGGCCTATAAAATTGCCTGTTTATGTCCTTTGCTTATCTTCTGTTGGGTTGTTCCAATTGATTGTTAATATTGCTCTAATATTTTAATATTTTAATTTTCATTAAGCAGTTTATTCTAATTGTTGAAGATTTTTTTTAATTAAAAGAACTTAGTGCATTTTTATAATATGGACAAATACTAATGCAATTCCATTTTAAGTTCTAACATAGTGGAGTCTTTTTTAGTATGTGTAAATAATATTGTCATTTTCTATGAAACTTTATTAAAACATATTTATTTTATAAACCAGGAGCCTTTCGTGGCAGATGAGTATATTGAACGTCTTGTATGGAGAACCCCAGGCGGAGGTTCTAGAGGTGGACCTGAAGCTTTTGATCCTAAGAGGTGAAATAAAAAAGTGTTTTTCTTTTTTGCATAGCCCCAATCTAGTACTACAAATTTGTATTTAGATAGAGATGACTCTTGGAATCCAGCACTTATATAAAAAGATATTAGTTAAAAGATGCCCCTACCATTCTTTGCTAAAAATAATACATTTTGACAAAGAATTTGTTGTGCTGGTGGTGCATGTCTGAAATCCTAGCTCCTTGTGAGGCTGAGTCAAGAGGAATGCAAGTTCCAGGCCAGCCTGGGCAACTTAGTGAGATCCTGTTTCAAAATAAAGATTAGAAAGAGCAGAGGGATATAACTCATTGGTAGAGTGTCTCTAGATTCAATCTGTAGTATCACCACCACCACCACAACAAAAAAATTGGTCTCCAAAAGATACATCAGAAGTTGAAATTGTGTTTTTCAAATTTTTATGTTCCTTTTATTTTAGGGAAGTACTTTAACTCTCATAAGGGAAGGAATTTTATTGAGAATACAAATTTAATATTTTCTTTAATTAGTAATAAATTAGAAAGGATTGTTTTATTTTTATTTATAAATAAAAACATGATCAACATGTTCTTTTAAGTAAATTGGAGAAACAAAGTAACTGAACGCTGGAATGAATAATAGTATTGTGCAATTACCTTCTTGGATGTTGTAAATAAGCTATAAAATTTGTTTCTATTCTGAAAGCTTAATGGGGATCTGAGTAAGGTTTGCATTCACCTCATTGAAAAGTTAATAAAAACTGGCTATATTTTCAAATGTCTTGTTTTTTGGAAAGTTATGTGACTAGATAAAGCAAAGAAGAAATTATGACATTGCAGGAAGACTCCATCTATAGATTGAAGAAATTCCTACCAAGATATGTTAAGAGAAAATTAACATGATCATTCCTGTCAAAAAACTCTAAAATTTTCCTTAAAATTATAAATGAATCAGTCATTTCTTCTTGATTGATAATAGTAGATTGATTCATGTTCTAATTTTCTCTATTAGATTATTAGAAGAATTTGTAAATCATATTCAAGAACTCCAGATAATGGATGAAAGGATTCAAAGGAAAGTAGAGAAATTAGAGCAGCAGTGTCAGAAGGAAGCAAAGGAGTTTGCCAAGAAGGTACAAGAACTCCAGAAAAGCAATCAGGTAAACATTTAGCTACACAATGAATCATTTATATAGCCCAAAAATCTTTATTTCCTTTCAGTTCTAAGCTCTTAAACAAGTCAAGTTGAATTATAACAACCGTTGATGTTTCTCTCTACCTGTGTGGTCCCACTGGGTAAAATATTCATGAATTGTTATCATATACTCTTGACATTGGCTTGCTACTGAATGTTGGTTTGGGATCATGGTACTCCCTTTTCAAGATGGAGTGGTGTACAGTTTAGTGTACTCCCTTGCTCTACCTTTGATAATGTAATCAAGAATTACTTCTTGGTAGACCTGTACTTTTGGAGACTCTTAGAATGGATATTTAGGTAGTCATTTCTGTTCTCTTTAATTGCAAACCAAAGTAATACCACCAAACAAATATCAGGMCTGGATCAGGTTTTTCCTAGTAGAAACCCGGTCTAGGAAGTATCACAAAAATAATGAAGTGTATGCCTCAGTGAGAATTCATTGGAGTAATTATGGGAGAAGGGGGTGGGTGGAAAACTTTTCCTCTATCCATTTTGGAATAAAACCAAAGCACTAGACTGGCCTTAGGGTTAAGGAAACCAAGCTGCATCTTTTTGGGGGAGTACCAGGAATTAAACCCAGGGGCACTTAACCACTGTTCCACATACCCAGCCCTTTTAATTTTTTATTTGGAGATAGGGTCTCCCTAAGTTGCTCCGAGCTTCACTAAGTTGCTGAGGCTAGCTTTGAACTTGTAATCCTCCTGCCTCAGCCTCCTGAGCTGCTGAGGCATCACTGCGCCCAGTCAAGCATCTTAATCACTCTTAGGCCTTTGAATTAATAATATGAAATCTCTGAATCCCTTTATAAGCTGGGCCTAATTTGGAATTCGATTTTCTTTTCCAAGTGCATTTTGAGGAACATTGTTGAACTTTGCTGCCTCCCAGGGGTCGTTTGGGCGTTGGGATTAGCAAACTGATTTCTGGTAAAATTTCATTTATTTAGATTCTATCACTTTTGTATATATGGCTGTGAGAAAATAATTAATAAAGTCAGTAACTTAAATAAGATAGGAAATGTGTTTTTAAGTAGTTTTGGTGGCAATTTCCAAATATTCTTAATGTAGTTTTCCTTTGGTAATTGAAATAGTTTTAATAAAGCACACAATTTTGTAACCAGTCTCAGTTGCAGCCTTGATACTTAGCTGTGTAATCTCAAGAAAGCAGTTTAGTTTCTGTGTCCCTCCATTTTCTATTTGTAAACTGGGTTTTGAGGATTAAATAAATAAATACATGTAGTATACTTAGAATAGTATCTAATACAGAGAAAGTCCTCAGTAAATGTTTAAAGCTTTTTTCCCCTTGAATGTTAGCCTACAAATGAAAGTACCACATTGAGTTATCAACAATTCTACTTTTGGCAGTTTAAAGACATTCATTGCACATAGTTTTCATCTGCCACAGGACAATCAGTGTATCCTGGGGAGAAGGGAATCAACATTCTGGGAAGTAATTTACCTTTGCCTTAAAGTAATTGCTATTGTCTTTCATGTTTTCAGAACTGAAAAGGACAATTTTACTATAGATATTAGTATCACTTTTTTAAATATTTAAAGTTAGGTGTTAAATATTTAATTATTTATTTATTTTTGGTGGTGCGGGAGATTGATCCCAGGGCCTTATGCATGCGAGGCAAGTGATCTACCAGCTGAACTATTCATTCATAGGCTAAAATTCAAGGGAAAAAAGCTTTAAACATTTACTGAGGACTTTCTGTATTAGATATTATTCTAAGTATACTTCATGTATTTATTTATTTAATCCTCAAAACCCAGTCCCTAAATATTTTATTTTTAACCAATATCTTTTACCCCTGACATATTTTTTAATCTTTTCAAGAGGGTTTTTTTCAAACATCTGTTCCCTTTTGTACTTGGTTCTTTTTTCTCAAAATCATTACTTGATAGCTTTATATGATATCAGGTGCTCTGTTAAACAGGATGAATAAGTGGATTTGCTTTTGTTAATTAACTAGTATATTTATAATAAATATGGTTATTATAATAGTAAAAGGGTAAAAGTTTGCAACATGTTTTAAAAAAACAAGGTTTTCAAATCATGTCATGATAATGAGTATGAATTAGTTTTGTAGACTTCATAATTTCTATGTTATCTTTAGTTCATAAGTTAGAGAGTAGTGGTGAGATCAATAATTTAGTTTTTGTTGGCTTTATTTTTATAAATAAGTTCATAAATTGTAAATTATATTTATATAATCAATACATGATTTATATTATTTATTGTTAATTTAATTTTTCTTGGTTTTATTTTTATAAATAAAAATTTATTTACCGTGGTGGGGATCAAACCCAGGACTTTGCACTATCCAGGCAAATACTCTTACCATTATGCCATTAGCTGGTAGTTTACTTTTGATATGTCTTAACTTATAAAGTGAGTTCTCTGATTGTATTTTATGCTTATGCACATTTTTCCTAGGTTGCCTTCCAACATTTCCAAGAACTAGATGAGCACATTAGCTATGTAGCAACCAAAGTGTGTCACCTTGGAGACCAGTTGGAGGGGGTAAACACGCCTAGACAACGGGCAGTGGAAGCTCAGAAATTGATGAAATATTTTAATGAGTTTCTAGATGGAGAATTGAAATCTGATGTTTTTACAAATTCTGAAAAGGTAAGCACTATCAGAGGATAAAAGCACATCACCACATAGTTACAATGCTCTAATTATGAGCTAGAGTTAGTACTTCTTAGATTCATACTTCAAATTATTTAGTAGTTTGTTTTTATTATTCTGAAATATATATGTGTGTGTGTGTGTGTGTGTGTGTGTGTGTGTGTGTATTTTTTTTTTGTGGTGCTTGGGATTGAACCCAGAGCCTTGTGCATGTGAGGCAAGCACTTTACCAACTGAGCTGTTTTCCCACGTCGATATTTATATTCTTAATTGGTTTGCTTGGTGTTTTGTTTGTGAAAGTTTATGTGGTTTAGAAAAGCTGAGGTAATTATGTTCATTAGTGTTTCCTTATCATATTTGACTTTACATAGTTATATGCCATTGGGTGGTGGTAGAGTGATCTGACCTAAATTGTTGATAAACTGAAATATCTTTTGTAAAAGAATTCAGAACTTCTAATTTTTATTGCTGGAATAAAGATCTCTTATAAAGAATTAAAGCAGTTTGGATCAAGGAGAATTGAAAAATCTGAATCGTATATATTATTCCCTTTTATAGCAATAATCATTTAATCCTAGTCTTAGAGTATCTGGTATTGGCTATTGTATAATTTTAAAAGAAGGTAATTTAGCTTGCTTTCTTTTCTTGAGGGGAAAAATTTGAAATGCATGAAAAATGGACATTTTTATAGATCATATATGCTCATTCATATTGAATACAATCTTTCTGACTTGTTCTACATTTACTCTATGAAGTATCAGATAACAGAATATTAAAAGCTAAGTATTATTGAAGCTAAGTATTATCACTTTGAATTAAGCAACACATTTTTTGTATGTATAAGTTAGATTCTGTATGGTTATAGAACTTATAATTTTTAGAGATTTTTGAAAAATGGTTATATGAAGGTAGAAAAAATTTCTCAAAGAAAGATATTGTTTTAAAGAATGACTTTTAAGAATTGTATTTGTGGTAGAATTTAACACTAATAAAATTAATGTCCAGAAAAATGTGATACTTAAGAATTTGAAAAATACTCGCAGAATCTTTTGTATTTATATATGGTTTTATTTATAAGAACACATGTAGAAATGGAACACCGGTGTAAGTTTTGGATAGTTTATGGAATATTTTACTTTTTGTTTTCCAATTATAAATATACATTTATCATATATTATGAAAGTGCTTGCTTGTAGAATATATTATCCAAATTCTGTTTACAAGCCAGGCATGGTGGCTCATTCTTGTAATCCCAGCAACTCTGGAGGCTGAGACAGGAAGATTGTGAGTTCAGAGCCAGCATCAGCAACAGCGAGGTGCTAAGCAATTCAGTGAGACCCTGTCTCTAAATAAAATACAGAATAGGGCTGGGGATGTGGCTCAGTGGTTGAGTGCCCCTGAGTTCAATCCCTGGTACCCCCACCAAAAAACAATTCTGTTTACATATTAAAAATTGGATATTATTAAGCCCTGGGTACTTTAGATTACTTTGCATTAAATCTGATGGATGGTGTAGTGTAGTTATGCCCTGTTATATACAAAATGCAGATAATCGTACCTACTGTGAGTTAGTGTATTTATTTGAATGTAGCTGAAGGTGGTCATTTAAAATCTAGAGAAAAGCACATGTTTTTAGATTGATTTTATTTATTTTTATCATGATTTATATTATTTCTATGTTTATACTTTAAACTTTTTTACTTTAAAATTTTTAATTACCCTCAGGTAATTAGGTAATTCTTGATGTTACTGCTGTCTCTCAATTTTTCACATCCTAATTGAAAGAAAAATGTCTTTATATACTTACTAGTTCATTCACTTAGTTACATAGACATCTGCAATATTGGAGGGGCAAACAGACTCACAGAATTTTTAAGTTTTTTTCTCATCTTTTATTTATTTCAATTCATAGTTCACATATAGAGCACAATTTTTCTTGTCTCTGGTTGTAGAGTTACACCATTCGTGTCTTCATACATATACTTGGGGTAATGATGTCTATTGCATTCCACCATCTTTCTTACCTCCCTGTCTACTCCCTTTCACTCCCTCCCCTTTACCCTATCTAAAGTTCCTTTATTTTTCCCATGCTACCCCTGCCCATCCCTATTATGGATCAGCATCCTCATATCAGAGAAAACATTTGGCATTTTTTTTGGGGGGGGGGATTGGCTTACTTCACTTAGCATAATATTCTCCAACTTCATCTATTTACCTGCAAATGCTGTGATTTTATTTTTTAATGCTGAGTAATATTCCATTGTGTATATATACCACAGTTTCTTTATCCATTCATCTATTGAAGGGTATCTAGGTTGGTTCCACAATTTAGCTATTGTGAATTGTGCTGCTGTAAACGTTGATGTGGCTGTTACACTTTAGTTTGCTGTTTTTAAGTCCTTTGGGTATAAACTGAGGAGTGGGATAGCTGGGTCAAATGGTGGTTCCATTCCAAGTTTTCTAAGGAATCTCCATACTGCTATTCATATTTGTTGGATAATTTGCAGTCCCACCAGCAGCGTATGAGTGTGCCTTTCTACCCATATCATCACGTACACTCTTTGTTGTTTGTCTTCTTAATAGCTGCCATTCTGACTGGAGTGAAATGAAATCATAGAGTAGTTTTGATTTGCATTTCTCTAATTACAAGAGATGTTGAACATTTTTTCATATTTGTTGATTGATTGTATGTCATCTTCTGAGAAGTGTCTGTTCAGGTTGGCCCATTTATTGATTGGGTTATCTATTTATTTTATTGATTGGATTATTTGTTTTTGGGGTGTTGAGATTTTTTTGTTCTGATGTTCATGTAATAAAATTTTTCTCCCATTCTGTAGGCTATTTACCTCACTTATTGTTTTATTTGCTGAGAAGAAGCTTTTTAATTTGACTCTATCCCATTTATTGATTCTTGATTTTATTTCTTGCACTATAGGAGTCTTATTAAGGAAGTCGGGACCTAATTCGACATGATGAAGATTTCTTATCTTAGGCGCATTGTCTCTGGTTTAATTCCTAGGTCCTTGATTGACTTTGAATTGAGTTTTGTGCATGGTGAGAGATCAGGGCTTAATTTCATTTTGTTGCATATGGATTTCCAGTTTTCTCAGCACCATATTTTGAATAGGCTATCCAATATGTTTTTGGTGTCTTGTCTAATATGAGATAAGTGTATTTTTTTAAAGCTTTTTTTAGTTGTAGTTGGACACAATATCTTTATTTTTATGTGGTGCTGAGGATCGAACCCAGTGCCTCACAAATGCAAGGAAGGCACTCTACCAATGAGGTACAGCCTTAGCCCAAGATAAGTGTAGGTTTGTCTCTGTGTCCTCTATTCTGTACCATTGGTCTACAAGTTGATTTTGGTGCTAATAGCATGCCATTTTTGTTATAGTTGCTCTGTAGTACAGTTTAATGTCTGGTATCATGATGTCACCTGCTTCATGCTTCTTGCTAAGGATTGCTTTAGCTATTTTGGATCTCTTACTTTTCCAGATGAATTTCATGATTGCTTTTTCTATTTCTGTGAGGAATGTCGATGGGCTTTTGGAATTGCATTCAATCTGTATAGTGCTTTTAGTAGTATGATCATTTTGACAATATTAATACTGCCTATCCAAGAACAAGGTAGATATTTTCATCTTCTAAAGTCTTCTTTAATTTCTTTCTTTAGCATTCTGTAGTTTTTGTTGAAGAGGTCTTTCACCTTTTTTGTTGATTCACATTTCATTTTTTTTTTGAGGCTATTGTAAATGGAGTAGTTTTCCTAATTTCTCTTTCAAAGGACTTGTCACTGATGTACAGAAATGCCTTTGATTTATGGGTGTTGATTTTATATCCTACTTTGCTGCATTCACTTATTAATTCTAAAAGTGTTCTGGTGGAATATTTTGGATCTTCTAGGTATAGAATAAACATTTGCAAATAGTGCTAATTTGAGTTCTTCTTTTCCTATCCATATCCCTTTAATGTCTTTCACCAGTGTAATTGCTCTGACTAGAGTTTCAAGAACTATGTTAAATAGAGTGGTGAAAGAGGGTAACCCTATCTTATTCCAGTTTTTAGAGGGAATGCTTTGAATTTTTCTCCTTTTGGAAAGATGTTGGCCTGAGGCTTATTAGCATAGATAGCCTTTATGATGTTGAGATATGTTCCTATTATCCCTAGTTTTTCTAGTATTTTGAACACCAAGGGATGCTGTGTTTTGTCAAGTGTTTTTTTTTTCTGCATTTATTGAGATGATCATGATTCTTTTAAGTCTAATGATGTCATGAATTACATTTATTGATTTCTGTATGTTGAATCAACCTTGCATCCCTGCGATGAACCTCACTTGATTATGGTGCACTATCTATTTGATATGTTTTTGTATTCTATTTGCCAGGATTTTATTAAGAATTTTTGTATCTATGTTCATTAGAGATATTGGTATGAAGTTTTCTTTCTTTGATATGCCTTTGCCTGGTTTTGTTATCAGGGTGATATTGGCCTCATAGAATGAGTTTGTAAGTGTTCTTTTTTCTATTTCATGGAATAATTTGAGGAGTATTGGTATTAGTTCTTCTTTGAAGGTCTTGTAAAAAACTCAGCTGTGTATCCATCTGGTCCTGGGCTTTTGTTGGTTGGTAGGCTTCTGATGGCAACTTCTATTTTATTGCTTGAAATTGGTCTATTTAACTTGTAGTATATCATCCTGATTCAGTTTGGGCAAATCATGAGACTCTAGAAATTTGTCAATACCTTCGATATTTTCTATTTTATTAGAGTATAAATTTTCAAAATAATTTCTAATTATCTTTTCTATTTCTGCAGTGTCTGTCATGATGTTTCCTTTTCCATCATGGATGTTAGTAATTTGAGTTTTCTCTCTCCTTCTATTTGTTATCATGTCTAAAGGTTTGTTACTTTTATTTATTTTTTCAAAGAACCAACTTTTTGTTAATTTTTTCAATTGAATCTTTTGTTTCAGTTTTATTGATTTCAGCCCTGATTTTAAT